GACTCTTAAGAGTCTTCTCCAGCACCACATATTTTCCCTTATCTCATGCCTTTCATCACTGACTTACTGTTTCTTACTCCTTTTATATCTAAACTCCGCATAACATCACTTTCTCTGGACAGGAATAGTATGGTGGATATGCATGTCTACACAGATCATTTGCAATGTATAGGAAAGAAAGACGTATGTCAACAAATTCCCTTTGATGAACAATATGAAACAAGATCCCCCTAATTCATGCAATTTGTATTAATAAATTGAATGGCCATTTCTTTCTCCTCTGTATGTTTGGGTATATGTGTGCATATTCTAAAAATTATGATTTAAGACCACATTTGAACTGCAAGAAGGTTCTTTCCCTTTCAAACTTGCTTGCTATTCTTAAGGGGCTATCTATTTCTAATATATTTATGGAGATATTTCTGTCCTGCACTTTTCATTTCTATGTGTGAAGGGGGTCAAAACAGCAGTGCAGTCCAAGCTGTGCCACTTTTGTATAGGTTGATGCTGCACACCTGTACAAAGGGGTGTGGTTTGACTTGCACAGTGACAGTGACAGCCACCTTACCTGTTTTGCCCTCCCTCCCCCAAATGCTGCTGCATGGTTGGCTCACCGTAACTTGAAATTACAATATCATATCATTCCATAATTGATTGATTATGTGCCATCTAGTCGGTGTCAACTCTTAGCGACCACATAATAGATTTTCCCCATGATGATCGGTTCCTAACCTGGTCCTTCAGTTCTTCCAAAGGTGCATCCATTACCACTATAACTGAGTCCATCCACCTTGCTGCTGGTTATCCTCTACTCTTTCCTTCCACCTTTTCCAGCATTAGAGCCTTTTCCAGAGATCAGAGTCTATCTGAAGTATGATAATTTGAGCCTGGTCATTTGTGCCTCAAGTGAGAACTCTGGTTGATTTGTTTGATGATCCATTTGTTTGTTTTCTTGGCTGTCCATGGTTTTTTCGGGGGTCTTCTCCAACACAAAAGTTCAAAGGGGTCAATACTCTTCCTTTCCAGCTTCTTCAAAGTCCAACTTTCACTTCCATAGAGTGTCACAGGGAATACCATGGCTTGCCCTATTCTGATCTTTGTAGGTATACTGTGATGGAATGGAATTATGAAGGCCAGGCTCAGGGAGATAAACATTTTCTTGGGAAGAT